CACACTCCACCATTTCTATGCTATTCTTGCAGCTATGGAAGTAATTCTGCTTCTTAAAAATTATGCTGAGGCATAGAAATCTCAGTGAGGCTCTGTCTGTAGCTGCATTACCTAGGTACTTCATGCATTAATTTCTTTTGGGGATCTTGTTATCTCCTCAGTTCATTGTCTGAGATTTAAGGCACAGATTTCCTCTGCCCCCAAGCCCCCTCAGTCCACTCTGCAGTGTCTACTTCTCCAGGACTTTTCCAGGGAAGCCAGCAGCAGGGCCTTCCTTTGTCCCTGGGACACAGTCCCTCTGCTCTCAGCCATTCCCCTTTGTTTCTCTCATCCTAGCCCTTGGATAAAATGAGATATTTTATTGTCTAAGGGGAACCTTCACTTTCTAAATTCTATTTCTTTTAGACATTGGGGTATATCCCAAATCCTCTTCATTTCTACTTTCCTCCAGAGGGTTTTAATGGTACCCAAGAAATAGGGCAAGGGAATCTGTCATTGGCCGAGGGCCTACATTTCCATTGCTACTTGAGTGTTGTTTGTTTCTGTCTGCATAGCTGTGTCAGGTAGCTCCCTCTGCTATTTCTGTACCCTCTAGCGAGGCATGGAAGTAATAGAAAGAGCCTCAGATTTCTTGGAGTCTCGCTACTTCCCCAGGATGCTGCCCATAAAGAATGATGAGAATCCTCTGCTCTCATCAACTCCCCTCGGGACCTCCACCTGCTCCCAGCCTCAAGCTATTCTCCTAGTCTGGAAGGAAACCTTCTTTTTTCCTTCACACCATTTTCCTCCCAAGCCTTCTGGTTATACCCCAGGCCACTCCATTTCACCCAGTGGTCTGGGCTTTGGAAAACCAACAAGAGACTCATCTGACCTCATTTCTTCCAAAAGCTATGAAATGAAACAACTGCTGGAATTAAGAGGTGTGGCAAACACCTCTCAAAAATTTCAGGAGGAAAAATAAACACTTTAAATAGTATTTTAAAAATTTAACCCACGACACAAGTAAATAAATAACAAGATAGCAGACTGTAATAAGCACTTTGAAGAAAATGAACATGGCAGTATGATGGACAGTGAAGGGAATAGGGCTTCGGATTGGATGATCAGGTGGTAACATGTAAGCTGAGATTTGGAGGATGAAAGAAGAAAATACAGATATTCATTTTCTCCTTTACAGCATTATGGTGAAAATTGAATAAAGTAACAGTAAATAGCATTTAGGAAGCACTCAGGAAAAGGCAGCTATTATTATTAGTTTTGATGAAGCTGACACAATGCATAGCTAGTGCAAATCAATAGTGATACTATGTTTCCCCAAAAGTAAGACCTACCCATAAAATAAGCCCTAGCAGGGTTTCAAGCATTTGTGCAATATAAGCCCTACCCCCAAAAATAAGACCTAGTGATGGGCGTGGCTACGCAGCACATCTGCACAACCCATGCATGTCATCATGGAGTGGTAAAGAAGACAAGCAGCCCTTCTCATCTGCCCCATCGTGACAGCTACTATCCCAGAGGTGACCAGAAAGGTGCGGGCAGCCCCACCAACAAGGTGGACTCCCCCCTCAGGTCCCAGCCATCCTGTGCGTGCTGCAAGCTGAGGCTTTGAGGGGAAAATAACACATCCCCTGAAAATAAGCCCTAGGGTGTCTTCTCGAGGAAAAATAAATATAAGACCCTGTCTTATTTTGGGGGAAACACGGTACCAGGAGGGGCCATCCAAAACCGAGTTGATTCTAAAGCCCACTCTGTACATTAACATGGCGACTTGTTTCACATTCATAGGAAATCTCAATCCCTTCACTGTTTGGCAAAGATACTGGCCCAGTGAAATGTATACTCTAGCGTATTCCAGGACTTTTTGGAGTGGAACTTCCCAAAAGATAATAGTAGCATCTTTGTCCAATTACATAGATCTGTTCCACCTTCTCTAAGAGGAGTGCTTATACCTCCTTCGGTCTGCATTTTTATAGATCCTTTTTAATGGTGTTTTTGCCTCTTGCTTGCTCTTCATTCATAGTCCTAAAAACAGTGAGAATCTAAATCAGGCCAACTACAGTTCACAGGCCACATCCAGCCCAGCTACCTGTTTTTGGACTGCTTGTGAGCAAAGAATGGTTTTTATATCTTTAAATAATGGACAATATGAAAAAAAAAAAAGGAAAATTTAATGACATGGAAAAATTCTATGAAATTCTAAAATTTCAGAAAAAATTCTATTGAAATTCTAAAATTTCAATATCCATAAATCTGTTCCAATAAAATTTTATTTATGGATTGTCTATGGCTGCTTTCATGATATAACAGCAGAGTTCAACGATATAGCTGGAAAAGCCTAAAATATTTACTCTCTGGTCCTTTATAGAAAAAGTTTGCTGACACCTGATCTAAAATATCAGATTACTTCTTGGCATGATAGAATCCATCTTTTCTTCCAGACTACATACCAGTGTGGAGAGTCACCAGTATCAAATTTGTAAACCAGGGAATTAATTTCATACACATTGATTTTGATGATGTTACATTTTGAATTAAGATTTAAAGCCTTCAAATGATAATTTTGGTCTTTTGGAATGTAGGTTCTGATATGTGAATTTGGGCAGAATAATAAATAGTAATGTTTATTGAGCACTTCCCTTGTGCTGGGTACTAATATAAACACTTTATATGTATGAATTCATTTAATCCTCAGAAAATATCTATAAAGTAGGTGTTACTATTATGCCCACTTTGCAGATGATAAAACAAAGATGCAGAAAATTGAGTAACTTACCAAACATCATGCAGCTAATTATAGGTGAAGTCTGCATTGGAAGCCAGACAATCTAGTTCCAGAGCCCTTAATAACCAGTAGTGGTAGGAGATACTAATGCTGCCTCCAGTATATGACTTAATTCAGGCTATAAACTTTTAAATTAATTTTATAAAGTAATTCAGTGGGGAGAAACAGGTTCATAATATAGTCGCTAGTATAATTTATAGAAGTAGTAACTTATCATTTGCATCTGTTGTAATTTTGTGGTTGACAAAGCATTTTTTAGATACATTAGCTGGTTTATAACCCTGTAAGAACAGTAAATCATTGGTGTCATTTTTTTTTACATATACATATATATGTATATCCTTTTTTTTTTTCGGCATATTATGGGGGTACAGATTTTAAGGTTTCAATAAATGCCCATTTTCCCCCCTCCCCCCACAAGTCTGAGTCTCCATCATGACCATCCCCCAGATGGTGATGAGGGTTCCTAGGACCACATTAAGGCTTGTGGAACCTGCAGCCTTGGGGCCACACATGGCCTTCTGGATCCTTGAGTGTGGATTTTTGACTGAATCGAAATTTTACGGAACAAATGGTTTTATTAAAAGGGGTGCAGCAGAGAAAGATGAAGCTTTTCTTGCCTCCTTTGGTGCTTAAAAGAGAACAATCTTTAAATAAGAAGGCTGCAGGTTCCCCATCCTGTTAGTTCTTTGTAACTTAAATATTTATTTTTCCATTTCTAAGCAATAATATGCATTAAATCATGAGCTTTATTCTTCTTTTATTTGTTGAATACTTATGGAGAGCTTGGTATATTCCAAGCACTTTACAATCAGTATTAACTCATTTAAGCTTCATAATAACACCGTGAAGGAGATACTATTACTATCTCCATTTTCCAGATTAAAAAACCTAAAGAGAGAGGCTAAATAACTTATCCCAGGATATCCCTAGTAGTAGTAAAGTGGAATTTGAACCTTTGCCATTTAGCTTCCCAATTCTGTCCTATTAATAACCCTTTAACTTGTTTGATATATTCAGTCTTTCCCTATTACACAATAAAATAACTACATGAATACTAAAATTGAAAGTATTTAGCTATTAATATTTACTATTTAAAATTATCTTGCATAAATACCATACCATACCAGAGTGGCATATTCACAGACCTATATTAATAAAATCTCCTTGCATATGAAGGAGAGAGCACAGCCTGTTGGCTTCATTCGATGTATTAGAAGGGAGCATAATAATGCATGTTATGACACAAACTGAATATACTGTAAGTTACCAGCATAATATTAAATGTAAATCATGAAGCACATGGTACATTTTTGAAATTTGAGACTTTTATTGTTAATAGGAATCTTAAACTTAGTCATCTTTCCTAAAGCATTCCTTCTACAGTGCTCTTTTCATGTGACCATTCAATTTCTGCTTAAACATTTTAAGATAAGAGAGTGTACAACTTTTAGAGGCAATGTGTTCCCCCATTGTGTGGCTCAGTTGTTAGGGAATCTTTCCATATTTGATCTAAAGCCTGCTTCACTGACTCCTGCGTTTATTCAGGTTTGGTTTTAGAGTGTTTTGCAATTAGTCTCCACTCCCCCAGCAGATTTACCTTCCTGATTACATTTGACGTAAGCTAAAAATAAAATAGTTTGAGAATTGACCAGCTGCCTATGGCCAAACCTGATAGTACTCATTAGTTGGGGAGCAAGCTAGGATGAGAATGTTTCCACAGACATCCAGAAAATAAATCAGTCTGCCGAACCCCAGCGTGATCATGCATACTTGTGTACATGGGTACGTTTTCCCATAAAGTAGTAAATACACATGTAGCTAGGGAGTAACAAGACTAGTTTTCTTATGCAAATTACGAAAATGCTCTTAAGGCAATTCAAAGTTTCAAAGTGGTTTTGTTTGGGTAATGGTATAATTAGAATAATTTTATCGGCTCTCAAGATGTCTACTTGAAGGGACAGTGATCATTTGTATGTATGAATCCTGCTATATACAATAAAAATCAGTCTCTTTCATTAGAGTCATTTTAATGAGTTGGGTTCTTTGGTTAAAATATTTCCTTAATTTTAATTTTTTTTAACTGATAAGGTGAATGGTAGAAAAGAGAGTGTGCGTGCAAGAGAGAGACAGAAAGAGAAGAGACCTAGTGCATAGCTGTCTCTGTCTCTCATTTTAATGTATTTGTGTCTTATAATGCTATTCTCCTTTTCTACAGGCATTTCCTATTCAAAACAGGAACAGGGACAACGCCACTGTTCAGCACGGCAACCCCAGGATACACAATGGCATCTGGCTCTGTTTACTCGCCGCCTACTCGGCCACTACCTAGAAACACTCTATCAAGAAGTGCTTTTAAATTCAAGAAGTCTTCAAAGTATTGCAGCTGGAAATGTACTGCGCTGTGTGCTGTAGGCGTTTCAGTGCTCCTGGCAATACTCCTATCTTATTTTATAGGTAAGAACAAGCTTGTAGAATTATTTTGTCTATAAATTAAGGCATTATTATACTGTTTTATATATTTATTTGGTCAAGAAGTACATTATGAGGTTATATTTTATGGGGGGGAGTTGGTAATAATATATTATAAATCGTAGAGTATTTTAAGTACTCTTCAGCAGATGTAGATAAATAGAAAAGCTGGCTTTGTAGGTAGTTCATTTCCATAAAGAGTGGGTATATTCTTGGACACAGACTATAGTGTACATTTGTGCTTGGCTTATTCCTCGTGAAACATGGATAGTTCCGTGACATTTCATGTACACAGAATAATCTATGTGCTTGCAGTAATGAATGCTGTGCAGGAATTTCCTTTGGTGCATACTCAATGGGGAGTTCTCTGCTACTTGTGATATTACACGTCTCTTGGCTCACTCAGCCATCTAAATGTAAAACTCATCACTCAGGGCCATCATCTTGCACTCAGGAACACTCTCCAGAGAACTAGGCATCCATAAAACGATGAATGGATTATATACTCATTCATATATGTGGATTTTTTCATCTCTTCTGATGTAGTATTTATTGATCACATTTTTCATTTAATAGTCACCCAAATAATGGAAGCTACTAATAGAAGTTGTAAATAATCCTTTTATTTAACTATTTCATAACATGTTCCAGCATTCAAACTGCTGGAAATTGCTTTTTAAAATGCCAGAAATGACCACATCATATTTTGATCTTCTTCTAAGTGTAGGGAAAAGCCTACCACATTGAAATGCTAATGGTGTCCACTGGGATAAATCACAGGCTTTGTGGTTTATCTACCAAGAACAGTAGCCAGTGATGCATCCTCAAGTTTACAAAGCAATTTGTGATGCCCCATGAAATTCTATAACTGAATAAGAGTATTACAGAGCTGTATGTAGAATAGTAGAGATGCTTTTGCAGTGGAACAGTGTCTAGCATTAGCTACAATACTCCTTAGATATAAATTATGTACTTTGGAAAGTGAAATAACCATTTTGAGTCACAATGTTTAATGGTAAAGCAGAAATGGAGAGCATGAGAGAGCTTTAGAGACAGTTCAGTGGGGATGGCAACTATGTGGCATGTTACCTGCTCTTATTTTCAATTCTTTGACCATGGAATACATCACTAATTCGGAGCACTCTTTGCTACTGACCATGGGACTATCCTCATTATCCTCCTCACGGTGCTCCATACAGTAAGTACCTCAGACAGCCACTACCCATCAGTCACACACAAAAGCAAGAAGAAACGTTTTTGTCATTTTTTAATCTGTTAATTTCCTGCTTATAAAAGGGTCAAACCAGATACCAAAGGGATTGTCACTTGACCAAGACCACACCTTAGTGAAACAATACTATGCTATTTCATAGCACTCAAAGTGAACGAGTAATTTCACGACGAAAATCAGCAGAGACAAATTTCTAGTATTCAATTAGAAAACATCCAGCCATTAAGAGATTCTCTTCCAGTTAATTGTATAAATTATTTGTACCTGTCAGAAGTGTGCTGCTAAAGAATTTTAGTGGTTCTGAAACGTATCGGTCATAAATGGGATGTAATAAATGAGGGCATATGTGTTTGCAGTGCATGTCAGAGAGATAAATATTATGCAAGGCTACAATTCAGTGTCTGGTTGATTGGTTGGGCATCCTTTCTGATTGGTAAGTGCCTGCATCCTTCCAGTTCTTAAATATTTTGAATATCGGTTCTAATACCATTTAATTTTACTTTCATGGTGTGACTAGCAGGGAAAATAGCATTTTAATGTCTGATCAGGTCGCTGCTACTCTTGAAACTTGTACTCTTTTCAAGGATCCATTAGTGAATATAACTCAGTATCATCTTTGTAAGTAGAAACTCAAAATTTCCTTTTTTTTTTTTTTCTAATTGCCTGGCTTTACTGTTTAGTAATTAGCATCCTACTTTATTCCTAATGGTACCACGGTCAGAAACATTTCCCTTTGCTTTTATTTTTCTCCTCATGGAAACATGCAAATTATCTAGTTAATATACTCATGTACTCTTTTCAGTTCAACAGCTATTTATTGAACATTTGTTTTGATCTAGTTATTGTACAAGGAATTAAGGAGATACAATCCCAGTGTTATCTGGCAAAAATTACTTTCATCATCAAAGAATTGTCTCATACTTTTATCGCTTTAATTAAACACATCTGCTTAGAATTTTCATTGGTCTTCCTGCATTTAAATGACTAACACAATGATTTTATTTTTAATCAGGTAAAAAAAATTCATTTTTTTCATCAGTTAACATAATAAATCTTTTGGGATTAAAGATGTTGCGTTTACCCTTGGGGAAAAAAAAAGAATAGGGCACTTCTTTCCGAGAAGATGTCCTTTTCTATTAAGTGTGTGTGTTTACAGCAGAGAGGGAGAAAAGAGACACTTGCCTATCCAGCCAGATTAGTCTGATAAACCCCAGAATCAATGGGGAAACCAATGTCATCGTCAGATTGACCTCATCAGTTTTAACAGAAATGCAGCCATCCTAAGACTTTGTTTCCCACTCCTTTAGAGTTCCCCTTCTCTCATATTGACTGTTATACAAGTTAAAAGCCTAAGATATAAGTAAGAAAAAAAAAGTCGAGGAATTATTTCTGTTCTAGAATTTTCTTTCTTACAATTCCAGGAATATCATGAGAAGTTATGAGACTGTAGCTTTAACATGTCTGTTCTCTACGGTCAAGTTCTCTCAAGATAGACAAGGTGAATAGCTTCTGAAAGAAAGGAAGTGAGGGAGGGAGGGAGACAAAGAGGCTCTGTTGTTTGTTTGTTTTTTCTATTTCTATCAAAATTTCAGAGACAAAAGGCCTAAAAGGAAAGTAAAAATGAATTGTACAATGCATAGGTACCCATTAACTTTTCGGTATATGCCCTTTCAGATATTTTTACATATATATGTACAGCTAGAGGTTCTCATTTTTAAATGTATTTTATACCAAGCTTTTCTTGCTTTTCATTCATTACACATCCTCTATATAATTTTATTTAGTGGCTTTTTTTTTTCTTGAGATGGGGGTCTTACTCTGTCACCAAGCTAGAGTGCAGTGAGGCAATCATAGCTCACTGCAGCCTTGAACTTGTGGGCTCAAGTGATCCTCCTACCTCAGCCTTGCAAGTAGCAGGGGCTACAGGTGTGCACCACTGGTCCTTGCTAATTTTCTTTTTCTTTTGTAGAGAGAGGGTCCCTCTATGTCACCCAGGCTGGTCTGGAAATCCTGGCCTCAAATGATCCTCCTTTCTCCGCCTCCCAAAGTGCGGGGATTACAGGCTCGAACCACCACTCCTGGCCTTAGTAGCTATTTTTAATTAACCAGTCCCCCGAAATGCAGTGACTATTTGCTTATGCATGTGACTGCGTATGTGTTTTAATGTGCATGTGTGTTCATTTCATCAAATTTTTATTGTTATATATTCTTTAAAAGACATTTGCTGTGCCAAATGGTAAGCATTTTCTAAATTTTGCAAACCATTGCAACATTACTGTCAGTTTACATAACCACTGACGCTAGTTATTCCCAATATCTGTATCTATATACTTTATTACCAGCATTTTTAACCTTTGCCAGCCTCTTAGGCTAAAACATTTTATTGTTGTCTTAATGTATTACTAGTATTGCTGAATATCTTTTCTTATATTTATTGCTATTTGTATTTCTTTTTGTGTCTGTGAATAGTCTCCATTTCTCTGTTGGGACTTTTTTCTTTCTTTCTTTATTTATTTTTTGATTTGCCAGAACTTCTTTTTATTAAGGATATGTATCTTTTGTCAAATGTGTCATATATTTTTCCAATTTATTATTAACTTTGGTTACAGTCATTTTTGCTATACTCCACAATAAATTTTTAAGTAGTCAAATGTATCAATTTTTTCTTTACAATTTCTGGCTTTTGTGCCATACCTATAAAGACCTTCTTTAAGTATTATTTCTAAAATGTGCTTAAATTTATTCTGATTCTTACTGTTTTTCAGTACCCATAATCATTTTGGGATCAATCTGATGGATGCTAGAGGTTCAAATTAGCTCTTTGTTCTAGAAGCTCATAGTCAAGTGATAAAGACATGCATAAAACATAACTTTCAACAGTACATGATTTTATAGCAGCTTTGTAAGTTAAAAAAATAGAAAAGAAGGAAAATACCCATGTTTAGCTGAAGATATTGGAGAAAGACTTGATCTAGCAGGTGCTGCTTACACTGGAGCTAGAAAGATGAAAAGGAGGAGTTCACCCAGTGCTCAGCTTGGGAACAGGTCATCCACAGACTAGCACAGAGCAGACATGTGCAATACCTACAGTGGTGCACATGGAGTGTTCACTGTGCCAGGCATTGTGCTCAAAGCTTTGTGTGTAATTTACGTTTAATTTTCATAGCAACTCTATGAGTTCTCTCCATTTAACGAATAGGGAATCTGTTGCTTAGAAAGGTCCCTTGCCTAAAGTCACACATACTGTAAATGAAGGAAACTGGCCTGGAAACTATTAAGGCCCCCATTACACAATACTACCTCCCATGAGTTTTTTGAAGAACTGAAAATAGGGAAGAAATTGAAGAAATATAAGCATAGGACTGAAAATGAATCACATGTATGTTTTTTAAAGATTGTTTTAGTGGCATTCCAGAACGTAGAGGCACTATGATGAAAGGAAGCCCAGACTTGTGCTTTTCAAACATTCATGTGCGTAGGAATCCCCTGGGGACCTTGTTAAAATGCATATTCTCATTTAGCAGATCCAAAGCGAGAACTGAGGTTTTGTATTTCCAGCAGGCAGCCAGGTGATGCTGCTGTGGTCCATAGATCACAACTGGAGTAGAAAGGGTCTGGGCGCATGCTGTCACATGTTCCATTCGACGATGGAAATGTTCTCTTTCTACACTGTGCAATTTAGAAGCCACTAGACACATGTGGCTATTGAGTACTCAAAATGTGGCTAATGAATTTAAGGAACTAAAGTTTAAAT